GATAATAGACACTTACTAACGATAAAATCAATAACAGCTGGACTTTTTTCTCTCTATGAAATTTTTTTTTCACAAGTCAATCGAATGATGAAATGAAAATTAAAACGTTCAACTTTCTCAATTACTTTTCTATATGAATCATAGACTTCAAAAATTTTGAATATACTAACGAAAGAACATTTCTAAGTATCATACCGCTTTTGAATCGAGACTATATGTACACCATGTAGATCTTAATGAGCTATGAATGTCTTGGAAAGAGTTCGGACAAATAGTTTATAGCTATCGAGATACTGTATTTTACGGTATTTGTTTTAGCATTTTTGCTGTAGCACTTCTAGAGCGCGTCGCGTTCATACTCCACCTGATTGATTCTATCTCTTAAGGAATATCAGAAAAACTCCGTTTCGAATTTCAACGCAACATTTTGTGTAGAGATATGCTTTAATAAGAATAGTTTGTTGTAAAAGTTTCAGATCTTTTGAATGTTTCTATTCTAAAATACGACTATGATAAAAGAATATTTTTCATGCCACTCATATACAACGGGTAATTTCGATGTTCTTATTTTAGAATGGATGCAATCAACAACTCTGAAACTTTCACAATAAGTTATTGTCATTAAGACTAGTCTTTGTGCAAAATTTCAAGTTGAAACTCGAAATCCAATTTTCCTGATTTTTCTAAATGAAACTACGACATTGTACTAAAAAAATACGGTAAAAAAAGAGTATTTCAGCAGCAATGAGATATTAACTCGAATTCTTTTAAAAATACGCATAGTTCATTAGAACTTACATGATGCACATAGTTCCGACTGAAAAATAGTTTGATACTTAACAACATTTTCTCGTAAGTTCACAAGAACGATATCTTGTTTCTGTGAAAGTTCATATTCATTGAAAAAGATTACGAAGATTCAAGCTGTAAAATGAAGTATCATACTTACTATAAGATTGGTTTACTTCTCATATTAATTCAAATCTGAAATCTTTTGTATTCAAGAAAAAAAGAGCAATACTTAAAACATAATTAATAAAATTTTAGAAAATATTTGTAATAGTACAGATCGAAATCATTTTCATAATATGCTTTATTTCATCTTTCTAGTGTACACCTCATACGCTTAATTGTTGTGATGACTATTATTCTCATCAAATAATACCAATGAAACACACTTCTTCTCATTGTATGCTAAAATCCAATGACGCTCTTCAATGTTCAACATTAGGAAACGTTACCAACGGTCAAGATACTCCACAAAATCATCAATATGAATGTATACCTGAATATATATTAACTATGACTCGTCATCATCATCCTTCAATAGCTTGTCATCATTCGCATCAATCATATCATCAAACAAATAATGCTTGTAGTGTACCTTATGCTACTTTTTCTCGATCATATCTTGTGCCTCAAGGAGTAACAGCACCAAGTACAAGTGATAGTAGTCAATGTACATGTTCACCTCCATCTTCAACAAAAATTACTCAAGAAGAATCATCAACACCTTTACTTGCTTCAACAATAATGAAAGAATCTCATAAAAGAAGAGAGACTTCATCACCAAAATCAATGATGATTGGATGGACAAGAAGAAATTCATCGTCGTCAACAAAACGAAAAACAATGGAAAAACAATACAGTTTTCTAACTCAATTACGTAAAGCGTCATTACTTTAACTATTGTCTTGAGATTAAACGCAGTGATTTATTTTTTTTTTGCTGTTTCTTGCTTTTATTAAAATATATGATTCATTTAGAATATTATTCTTAATATTCAGTTTTTGAATGATTGATGACATTAAATCTTTGTCTATGGCTTTCCACAGAAAAAAATTTCTATTGCAATCTATGTTGTTGATTTGTTCAGACTATCTATGGTATACTTGGATCAGATTATCGATCAGAGAACAATTATTGGTATTAGATATGCACCGAACCCGACTTCTGGTCCGGTATTCAGGAGGAGTGGTTCGCGTTCGGACTCAGGTTTCGATTTCTGAAACTACTCAACCATTTTAGACAGTGTCGGGTATTTAGGTGATTGCCGAGCATTTCTTGAGGTGTATGAGCAATGATGAAAGCATCCTAAAGTTCAATTAAGTTTGGGTTTAAGTATTTCTTAACATTGTTAACTTTTTTTAGTATGCCTGCAGACCTTCAGTATTTTGATCATTTATTCCACTCTGTGTAGATTCCATCATAATTAAGTCTGAAATCATTTCTTTTGGCTTATTGCTACTTCCTTGGATTAATTGAATGAAAATGACCATAGTCAAGACCGAACTCGAATCTGAACTCAGTGAATCTTAATATTCGGATTCGGTACTTGCCAAATCGGTATACCATAGTACAATCGCGGTCAGAGTATAGTCAATCTGTTTAAGTTTCAAAGTAACGCCGGATGATTGCCAGTATATCGTTAAAATACCGCACATTATATCGAATGGTCTGCCGGCAATTTTTTGTCGAGTTTGAATCACATGGAATTGCTTTGGATATTCTTGAAAAAAAATGATTCTGTTTTTATGCATACTGTAGACAAGAACAAGTCTGTAGATCTCAAGCATTATATGGAAAATCGTCGGAAGTCTTCTGTTAATGAAATAACAAAAACAAAACGAGATCTATAATGGTACAAAAAGCAAAAATTTGCTCATCGGTAATACTCTAGTTTATGTTTATGTTAACGTTATTAATTATTTAACAGATGAATACATCAATAAAATCTTACATCTAGCATATATACCAGTCTTTGTACTATGTGATTTTTGGCTAAAAAAAATTATATCAAGTGTAATTATGCTAATCCAACAAAGCAAATGTGATTAGTTCTTGCGTTTTGCAAGAAAACTAAACATATTTTAGACAAAGATATAAAAGAAAAATGTTGACAAATTGTTATAAAGAATTCAACATTGTATAAGTTTACACAGCAATTATCCTGAACATCGGATAAAAATAAAATTATAGGTATCTCTTTTATTTTTTATTTAATATAATCAAAAATTTTAGTTAACCCTAATTATTATAGTGAGCTCACGCTACAGATTATATTTAATTATATTCCGAAAGTTTTGTAATTAAATGTTTGTTTACAATATTGATCTTGCCTATCATACCTTAAACCAATGGTTTAGAAAGAACAATTGATGCTTGTAGTTATATGTTATTCACTCATACATATCTCAATTTTTTGGAGACTCACAAACTAAAGAATACTGATTCCGAAAATAAAGTCGTCAGCAAAAAAAGACTTTCTTGTTGTAAACGATTATCGTCTCAATGAATTAGATCTGTAGATCAGTACAATTTGTGTTTGCTTAAACTTCTTCCAAATTTTTCCCCTTGCACAAATCAAAATTAAGTCATTGTTCAACTATGCACGATTCATGTTAATATTCGGATCAAAAATAAAGTTTAAAGAATATCGGTTCTTTAATTTCCATGAAAAAATCTTCTCCGATTATTTGAACACATTGTTCAAGCAAAAGAAAGAAACAAATCGAAATAAATACCTTTTCGATACAAATATTTTGCAGGCATTCGAAACACATTAGCCATAGATATATATTAATGAAATCAAAAGAGTATTTGCCATCAAACGAGTATGAAATAAATTCGTTAACGAAAATCATCACTCAGATGAATCTAAAGTGGTGTACTAGTTATGAAGAATTCTATGATTGAATTGAACATTATAGTTTATTTTGATGAGCAATAATTTTAAGAATAAAATCAGTGATTTTACAACAGCATAAAACACTATTATTTAGTTCAATGGAGGAAGAAATTTTTTCAAATTTATTTTACATCTATGTTTTAAAGAAGGTGTGCGTGCATGACTTTGGAAAAAAGAGAATACGTACACCCTTTGGTTTACAAAAAATAAAAGTAGGTAAAAAGGTCTTTTGAAACATACATTCGATTTTTGAACATGACATTATTTCAAATGACAATATCGCTATTTCCCAAATATCCTGATGGCGATTATCTAGACCTGAGTTAGACATGTCCTTACTAACAATACAATATTGAGATATTGTTATTGTGGCATACCTAACGTGAATGATTAGAATCAACTGTTTAATGCTGTTGTAAAATCACTGATTTTATTCTTAAAATTATTGCTNGGTTTGCCATTCTAAGTATCTCAGAAACGAACATTCCTAAATGATATCTTTCGTTCGGTGTCATATTTTTACCATAAGTGGGATCCTGTGTGACTAAAAGGATTTTCCCGATTAGATCTTTCTTCTAGGGTTATGATCATATTACTGAAATTTCGATTTCTTGTAAATTATTTATAGAAAAATCAAATGCAGAGATGTTGACCTGAATTTTCGCTCATAAATAAACTGCATGATTACTAGAATGTTGTTAAAGTTTCAGTCAAAGTGAATGCTTGTTTCTTGATGTATTTGATGCTTAAAACATGATCGTATTTCACAAACAAGGTAACAAATCGACTTCTAGTCAACATTGAATATCTCAAGAAAGAATCATTTGTTTTGCCTGATAACTGCAGAACAATTTAGCGATCATGAAGGCTATTTATAAATAAAATCTCAAGCTAAAGTTCTGGCACAATGATCACAATTCTCAAAGGAAGGCATAATGGAATGAATCCTTTTTAGATTTCTTCTAGTCCGACAGGGTTCTACTTTTGAGAAAAATATCAAGTCGAACGAAGAATATCAGTTGGGGAGATCTCCTTGACAGTAAACAGGTATCCTAAACTCAATAATTTTGCTAGCGTAATAATGACTATTAATAGTTCATCAGATGTCTTGTTTCAGAGAAAATTTTATTTTCATTTAGATCTACGATATTCAAAAAAAACTCTCTTAGAAATACTCTAAATATGAATTGTTCGCTATAGAAATTAATATCATTTTATGCTATGACATTATTTTGATATATTAGCGAATAGAATTAAATTATATGAGTTATTCTAATCTGTTTTATTGCTTCATTGAGCTTCTGAATTTTATTTAATGCAACTGACCTTTGTCATGTTTGTTCTGAGAATTGTCTTCGTTTTTAGAAAGCTGGACTTCTTGTTTCTCGTTTTGTTGATTCTCATCGTCTTCGTTCATATGATCTTGCTCTTCTTCTTCTTCTTCTTTTTCTACTTCGTCTTGATTTGTATCTCGAGTAGATTCTTCGGATTGTTGTTCCTCTGTTGATGTTGAACATTCTTCATTTTCACAATTTTCAAGAATCTGTTTTAAAGAACTTATTAAATAAGTTAATTCATCATCTGAAATTTTATCTCTTTCTAAAATTTCTTCAATTTGTTTTTGATAAATTTGTTCTTTTTCTTGAATTTGTTCTGATGTAAATTGTGAGAAAATATTTGATTGATCAAAGTTTTCTTCTTCTTGTTCTTCTTTGTTTAACATAGTATTAGACATTAAATAAGTTCGACCAACTGTACCAGGTTTCATATAATGTAGCTAAGAATATAAAAAGTTTGTTTTATTTATCAAAACAAATGTTATGAGAAGAGAATTCATATAAAAAACTCCGATGTTTTTCACATGAACCCAGAGAAATGACTTATGATGTGAAAAACCTTCCATAAATTTTTGATCTGAAAGAATTAGCTACTCGATTTATCAAGTGATCCAAGTAGTTCCTTGCATTCCTATCTAAATAGTAGTTTCAATGATCATAAAGTTATGCAGCTAATCCTTATTAGGAGGTTTACAACTGAATAATAAAGTTTGTGTGATGTTCAATGTATTTCTCAAATTATAGTACAGATGAAATTGCGAACTCAATCGATGGATCCTTTTCTCTTCACTCACACTAATAAACGTATGTTTTCAAGTGACCAATCACTTTTTTGTCGAAAGATAATGGATTATAGGTTAACAGCAATGCTAATTTCGAATATAAATACAAGAAATCTCTTTAGATTTGTATATGCTGGTTTTCTACGCTAACATACTTTTCAGACCAAAAAATCTTTTTGATCTTTTCAGATTATAGAACTCATTGAATTGCCTAGAAAAAGATAAATTTTTCTGTTTCAAATCATTTTTATTTTTGCAGAAAATATAGCCATTTTAATTCATAGAACCGATATATATCAACATTTTACTGTACAAATCTTTAAGATGATATTATTTTACTTACAAACGATTTTGGCGAAAAATTTGTTAGATTAGACAACTAGTATACAAAATCTAAAGAGATTTCTTATGGTTATATTTGTAATCAACATGATCGATAACCTAAAATTCACTAGCTTTCGATGCAAAAGCAATTGGTTATTGGGGAACGTTCCCTCGTAAGTAATTTTTCAGCTAACATTATTACTTGTTGCGTACTACCTCCAATCTGCAAAATTAGTCCATAGCTTCCGAAAGAAAGACATTTAGCGGAAATAATGTAATAAACTACATTTTATATATATATGTTATACTTTAAGAAACTACTTCCTTAACAATATATATATTATAAAACAAATTGGGTTAGATCATGGAGCGAACCTCTTTCTTTGGTACATCGAAAAAAGAATGCTTACTAATTCTATTAATAATTTATCATAATTCAAAGCTAAATCTTCATCTAAGTTGAATTTTATTTCTTCTTTAAATGAATCATAATATAATTCTTCTGTATGAATTATTCTAAGCCAATCATCAACGTGATTTAATGAATTTTTTGTTAACATAATTGGTATATATTTCTTTCCAGACGATAATGTAGTATACAATGATGTCATTGAATTAGCATTTTCTGAATAATTAGAACTGAAACAAATAAGAATTAAATCTGTTTTATTAAATTTTGATCCAATAGTTGAAGATGTTTTATCAGAATAATCAATTGATACTAGATAACCTTCGTCAATTAAACGATTAGCAAGATGATGTGATAAAATTTTATCATCCGAACAACAATTTATTATAATATTGTAAGAATCACATATATTGTTTAATATTTGAGTTGGAGATGTAGATAATTGTTCATCAGACTTGGATATATTAGAATAGAGTAATATTCTTTGTCGTTCAATTTCTGACATTAATTCATATTTTTCTTTTGCTTTATTAACAGAAGAAATTGAACCAATTAAATCTAAACATTGTTGTTGAGTAGTTTCTTTTTCGATATAATAAATTTTTGGTAAAACACAATTTTCAAGACAATATTTATAATATACATTAATCATATGTTGATTCCATATCTCAGGATAGAATGGATCATTTAATTTGATTGTTGTAAGAACATTCTTTTTCATATAATTATTTATGGAATTTTCACATTTGGATATATTGGAATTTCCTGATGTTTTTACTGTTATTGAAGTCGCTAAAATAAATAAGAAAAAAAAAATTACATATCATACTTTGGTATTATTTAATATTAGAATTATTTTATGCAAATGTGTTAGCATTAATTAAATTATCATTATTTTAAATTCTAATACATGTGTTACCTACAACCAGACCTCTAAGAGTTCAAGTAAAGAGCAAAATGACGTATGCTTTTATTGCATGGATCGAACGAGAACAGTAAGAGTACGTGAAGTACGAGGCTGTGTCGTTATCTTATTGGATTTAGGTCTAAATTTTTCTTAGTTATAAAACTGCACTCAAATTGTATTCCGAGACCGCATACTCTGTGCACTGCCATTTTAATTTCACGCTTCTTGTACACTGAGGAACACGGAAGAATGTCGTTTTCCCGTGGATAGGGCTCCAAGTATTCCTTCTCCAAACGACAGATACTTTAATAGTATTGTTTCATTCTTATGGATTATGATAGGTGTACTAGCGAGACCAAAGTCTTCTACTACATGATTAACATGAAACATTGTTAAATTTAAAATAGTTTTACTTTGTCCTTCTTTTACAATGTTGTAGATCTATCATATTTCACATTTAAATCCTGCAAGCGTTGCGCCGAAAGTTTTTTGTTTTGAAAAAATGATTTTCAACAAGAGCGAAAAAAAAATAGTTCTATTATTGAAAACTTTCAAAGTTGTACTCTTAGAGTTCTAGTCTTAGGTATTACACGTATTAGAATTAAAAATAATACTAATTTCTTTATATTAAATAATTTTAATGCCAAAGAATACCAAAGTATCATATTTAATTTTAATATTAATGCTAATATAATTTGTCTAGTTATAAACCTTGTAGAACATTATTCATTGAGATTATGTCATTCTCCTTATCTGTCATATTCTCAACAACTGGTTTCTTGAGTATATAATGAAATACGAATTTTTTCGCTATTTCAATCATGACATACTTGATATTGGATAAAAAAATTGCTCATAATCATCTCCTTCTTTCTGTATTGATAAAATAACTTGTGAAAATTCATTAAAAAACTCGTTTTGTTGATCATTAAAGAGAAATATAATTTTCCATGATCGATGAGAATAATGTTTTGATCCGAGTTGATTTATCATTTCATTAAGAATATATTCTGCTAATTGTTTTCTATTATCATAATTTTCCCAATCTGTTGTTGCAAATGCAATTGTTTTAACAATATTTGTACAAAGCATATCTATTTGCTTAATTGATGTAGAAATAAATTTTTTTATTGATTCATTTATTTGATTATTATTTTGTTGTGAAAGATCTGGTGACCATTCAATAAATAAAACTCTTTTACCAGTATCNGAAGGAACCTACACTTCATATCTAGTTTATCATCTAAGCAATTCCTGCTGTTACAAAATACATGTCATAATACAAAATAGGTTAGCTCCAAACTCGACTGTCTTGCTTTCGTACAATACAAAGAAATACTTAGTAATGCTATTAGTAATTTATCATAGTTCAAAGCTAAATCTTCATTTAATCTGAATTTGATTTCTTTTTTAAATAACTCATAATATAATTCTTCTGTATTCATTATTTGAGGCCAATCATCATCATGATTTAATGAACTTCTCATTAACATAATTGGTAAATATTCCTTTCCCGACGATATTGTAGTATTCAATGATGTCATACAATTAGAATTTTCTGAATAATTAGAACTAAAACAAATAATAATTAAATACGTTTTATTATATTTTGATCCTATAATAGATGGTGTTTTATCAGAATAAGCCATTGATACGTGATAACCTTCATCAGCTAAACTATTAGCAAGATGGCGTACTAAGATTTTGTCATCAAAACAACAATTTAATATAATATTATAAGAATCAGATATTTGAGTTGAAGATGTTGATAATTGCCCATCACATTCTGACTTATCAGTATAGAGTAATATTCTTTGTCGCTCAATGTCTGACATTAATTCATATTTTTGTTTTGCTTGATTAACAGAAGCAATAGAACCAATTAAATCTAAACATTGTTGTTGAGTATTTTGTTTATCAATTTGATAAATCTTTGGTAAAACACAATTTTCAAGACAATATTTTATAATATAGATTAATCATATGTTGATTTCAAATCTCAGAATCAAATGGATTATTGTTTAATTTGATTATTGTGAGAATCTGTTTTTTTCATAAAATCATTAATAGAATTTTCCCATTCAGAAATATTGAAATTTCCTGATGCTTTGAGCGTTATTGAAATTGCTAGAATAAATAAAAATAATTTCCTAGGTAAAAAATGTCATTTTGTTTAATTCAATGGACTATATTAAATTCAAATGCCAACCCATCGATTGTTCTGTCAAGAAATCTTCATGCAGCTATCAAAAATTATTTTGTTTGAACTGAATTAGAATTAAATTTGTTGAAAAATGACAATGTTCATCTTATTTTATTATGATTAGAGATATTCTCTCAAAGTTAATATTATCATTAATAATAAAATTCCATGTCAGATTTTCCTATCTAATATACATATGCTAATTGCGACTAGACTGCGAAGGGTTCAAAGCAATAATGAAATGAAGTACGCTCGCATTCCATGAACTCAACGAGTACAATAGAAGTACGTAAAGAGGTCGACTGGATCATTATCTTCTTGAAACGAGTCTTAGGTCTTTTTTAGTTATACCGCTCTACTACTATTGTATTTTGAGCAGCATGAGAATAGGTCGTTTTCTTCTCAATTCAAGTTCGAAAGTTTTCAATAACGGAAGTGGGATGCACACCTTACTATTACCACTTCTCTTCTCTTGGATCATGACAGATGTGTATTGATCAAGCTGCATTGTATCGCGTGATTAGTATGAAACATAGATGAATTAAAAATAGTTGTCCTTTTTCCATACTAACTCTAATATATAATAATTATTATCTTTCATCATCGACATGAATTAATAGTATGTTTTGTTTTGATAAAACTACTACAGAAAAATCATCCTATTATTGAAACATCACACAATTCTGAAGCATTGTGTTTTATTTTAATACTAATACTAACACACGACATCTATTTATGAACTTTGAAGGATTCAGACACTCATCATCTGCCATATTTTCTCTATCGAATTTCTTCAGTACATGGTCAAATACGAATATTTTCTTTATTTCAATGATGACATACTTGATATGGGATAAAAAAATTGTTCATAACCATCGCTGTCTGTCTGTAATATTGAAATAACTTGTGAAAATTCATTAAACAAATCATTTTGATCGTCTTTAAAAAAGAAACACAATATTCCATGAACGATTAGAATAATGTTTCGATCCAAGATGATTTACTATTTCATTCAGAACACCTTCTGCTAGTCGTTTTCTATTAAAACTTTTTCCCAATTCGTTGCTGCAAATGCAATTGTTTTAATCACATTTGTACAAAGCATGTCTATTTGTTTAATTGTTGTAGAAATCATTTTTTTTATTGATTCATTTATTTGATTGGTATTTTCTTGTGAAAGATATGGTGATCATTCAATAAATAAAACTCTTTTACCAGTACCAGATTCAAAATAACCATTTCCATATTTTGGATCGATTTTTTCTTTAATACCATATGCTGTTGTTGAGATAATAGTAATATCAACCTAGAAAAAATTTTAAATAATTATTAGATATATAATAAAAATTCATTTATCTGACTAACTGTTAAACCATATGATTTATGAATTTCTATTGTATTATGTGACATAGAAAGTTTTCTCCATATTGCTAATGAAAAATAATATTGATTTGATTCATTAGTAATATATTTTGATGTTGTTACATTTTTTTCTTTAGGTAAGATAATAAGTTCTTTTTTTGTTTCTATATTAATTTTATTAATTTCACAATTATAGTTTTGAGCAAGATTTTTCAATTTTAACTGATCTTTTTCTGTTAATGTAAATGCATTTTGAATATATCAAAAGATAGTTGTACTTGCTTGAAAAGCCATCGATTGAACTAATTGTTTAATTTTCATGATTAAATATTGTGGTGAAAGAATTATATTTTTACGAATTTGAATTTTAACATTATCATCTTTATAATAGATTTCGAGATTTTTTTATCTCATGAACATAATTATCTAATAGAAATTCACGCTAAAACAAAGAAGTTAATAAATAATTAACATATTTTATCGATTCATAAAGTTCTAATAAAGATTATTGAAGTATGGTTTGAAAGATATATGAAACTTTCTAAAAGAATTTTTGAATTACACTAATATTAAGTGGCATACTATTAAAGTACCTACAGTCTTTTCACTAGGGATTTTCAAAACCATTATTTTTTTAGTGTCGATCCTGATCCTACCAGAACTGAGACCATCTTTCAGATGCCTGATTTTCATTCACATCTAAACTCTCTCATAAAAAATCTAAGTTGGCCGAAGAAATCGTGATAGTGTTGCTTAAGAATATTTTTCTTCGAACACATGTCTCTTTCTTTTAGGAGTTGTATCTATGGTTAAAAATGCAGATGAACCTGTTGCATCTTCTTCGAAATGAGGGGATACCTTTGAAACATAAATTTGATCTGTGTAGCATTGAAATATAGATTGAAGAAATTCGAAAATCGACTAGGTAATATAATCATACTTCTGTGAAAATCATTGGAAAATTTTATTCCAATCAGAAATAAAAGATAGGGATTCGAGCTTTCGTGTTCGGACTGAACACATCGTCAGGAACGACATTATGAAATTTTATTTAGATTAAATTAAATTAAAATTCATTTTATAATAAAATGAAATATTACAAAATACAATAATATTGTTTGTGATGTTGTTTATGTTGGTATTGTTTATGATGTTGTTAATGTTGTTGTTGTTATTAGTGATGTTGTTGACGTTGTTGTTATTGTTCGTGATGTGGTTGATGTTGTTCTTATTATTTGTGATGTTGTTGTTAGTGTTTCTGATGTTGTTGTTGTAATTATTGTTCTTCCTGTTCTTTCTTTCTTATACTAGCACCTCACTGAGATAAGTTTTTGATCCTGATAGATATTCTTTTAACGAAAACTATAAATAAGAGAAGTGTGATTAATGAAAATGAGAAGACTAAACATCAATTTATATTATCAACTGATTTGTATTTTATGTGGAGGGTGTCGATCTTGGTGTTAAGATGGGTGTGTGGGTGTGGGTGTGGGTGTGGGTGTGTGGGTGTAGGTGGGTGTGGGTGTGGGTGTGGGTGTGGGTGTGAGGATGTGGGTGTGGGTGTGGGTGTGGGTGTGAGGATGTGGGTGTGGGTGTGGGTGTGGGTGGGTGTAGGTGAGGGTGTGAGAAGGAGTATAGTTCTTCGCTTCAGGAATATCTATAACTTGCCACTTCTACACCTAGAGCCATAACTGCACCTACACCCCATAGCCACTAGCACGGATATTCCAGTCACATCCACACCCACACCCACACCCTTGTAGATGCTAAAGATTTGCTAACATGTCAGGTGAACTATAAAAGAACAGTCTTGCATTTCTGGATCTGAAAATTCAATTTTTGAGGTTTTATTTAATTTCATCACTTGTATCACTTTGATGTCGGAGTGTGGGTGTAGATCTCCTTTTAATCTGCATCCACACTTGCACCCACACCCTAATCGAAACTTCATGTGTATTGTAAGTCATTTTTATGTATTCTTTTCTATATTTTTCAAAGATGATAAGTTTTTAAAGAGTTACATCTGACATGTTATCAGAGAAAAAGATACCCTAACTCCTCCTCTTTCGATTGATGAAAACCGCATGTTTCTAGCTAATGGATTTCTTGAGTTATTGAAAAAAAAGACAGTCACACGCACGAATATTTTGGATGAACTATAGAAGTCCCATATTCCGATTCATATTTATTCTATTTGTTTCTCTTGTTACTGATCTGTTCTTTAGTGATTTTCTCAGCCAGAATCAAAGTTCTATGTTCATATTTTTATGCACCCAAAACTCATTGCATAGCATGGAAATTTCAGCGTTCAGCAAGCAATGTCATGAAGGTGTTCTTCTGGTTCTATCTAGATTTTATTATAAGTTACAGTTGTGAAACTTTCAGAAAATACTTAAGAGCATATAAGAACTTTGTACCGGAATTTTTCAAGTAAATCTGTCAATATCATCCCGAGTTACATATGACCGAATGACATTGCTTGCTGAACGCTGAAATTTCCATGCTATGCAATGAGTTTTGGGTGCATAAAAATATGAACATAGAACTTTNTTGGTTTACAAGATGATGACATTTTAAAATTATTATCTTCAAAAGATGAAGATGGAACAATAAGAAATCCTACAATTAGAATACAACGTAAATTTAGAACAATATTAGAAGCATATAGAAAATTAATAAAACAAGAGTGAAAAAAAAACGTAGACGAAGCAGGTAAGTATATTCATCATCGCTTATCATCAATATCTTGATCTAATATATAGATGTTTGAAAGTGAATCACAACAAACAATCAATATGAATATTTCTTACTTTTGAAAGTTTCTACATATTTCTCGAAACTATTAGCCTTTAGCCAATCTCCAACTTGATCCACTGTCCAAATAGCCATTGATATATCTAAATATAATATTCTTGGAAATTAAAACAATTCAACAACAAGAGAAGTAACTTGAATAACAGCAACACCCGTATGATGTTTAGTCATAGGCCTTATAGCAGTTTGCTTTTCTTTGGCATGAATCAAATACTGGAATTGACATGTGTTTGCAATATACTATAGTTAAATCTTGGTACTCTCAATAAATCAAATAGCCCTGGATAAGTTACCGATGATGGTGTGTCTCCGATAACGTACTGATAATGTTGTGACATACATCTTCTTTTCTAGCTAGTAAGTACTTTGTATGTACGAGGGCTTTAAGCAAGTGAACGTGAAAATTCTTAGCTAGGCTAGTCTTCTAGCAACGCAGTCGAAAGATATGGTAAGTATTCATTCCCTCACATATTTGTCACAGTCACAATAATAAATCTTATCTTTATATCGAATATCTCAAACTATCCGTTCGCCTGTATGTTCTCTGCATAGAAACATATATTTAATAATTCAATGAATAATGTCCTGTATCAACAACTTATTGTCGCTTCAAGTTTCGTAAACACATCGGTAATGAGAACAATATTTTAAAAAAAGTATTTCAGAAAATCGTTTCGTTTCGTTTTTATATGCACTAAGATTTTATTCTATAACATTTTTTATTATTATTAATAACTAATTTTTTAATTACTATTATTACATTTATTAGAAAATTTTTTCCGATATAATTAGGTAAACAACTTTCTGTTATTCACCAATATTTTCTCTAAAATTCGCTCTTTGAAATAAAAAAATGAAGTTAACGTTAATTCAACGTCACATTGTTGAGAAATAATTCAATAATTTCAACAATTATTCTCTCTTTACAATTCTTGAATCGATAAAGCAAATAATTGTTTTAATTTAATGTTGATAAGTTTCGACGTGTATATGATAATTTCTTTGTTTTATTAAAATGTCTCTAAAATTACAATTTTATTTACGGAAAATAGGATTTTGACAGAAGGTCAGTGTTTAGAAATACTAGTTTCTCTTGAATGACAAGAATGAAATGGCAATAGGAAGTCCTAAAGCCTCATGGAAATGTGAGAACATGAACGAAAGATCGGAATCGACGAAAGTTGTTTCTGTAGGACACTATCAATTAGTTATTTTGAGATGTAATGTCTTTGATAACGTTTGATCTGATAATCAGAACTTAAAGACGAAATATTCTTCATTTCAAAAGTTTCCAGCTCTATATTGAAAGTTCTATCGTCATAAATTCATTTATGAATGAAATCAAAAGTGACAAAATTTTCGATTTTTCCTACAGTTTATTTCAGTCGAACAACAGAAGAAAATTATTCTTGATACTTCTACGTCTTTTAAAATATTGCTTCTGAATTTTTTTCAAGTTCTTGCATTTGATTTTCATAATCATAAACATATATCTTGAAACTATTCTCAATCAATCAAATCATATTGTTTCCCTTTTTTTTTCTAGTAGCAGCAAAATTAAAGATGAAACAAGACTTATCACAAATGAATAAATCTATTATTCGACATTTTCTTTGCAAAAGACGTACATCGTTTCATATAGTTTCTATCTTAATATTTATTAATAAAAAACTGAAAACTTACCAATTTTATATGATACTTATTATTCACTCTATTTCGACAAATAAAATGGAAAAAAAATGTATAATGTCATAAAGATTTTTTCTGTTTTTTCTTGTTTTTTCTCTACCAACTTGAATTTTTTCTTTTATTGAGAAATGGCATTAGATAGCCAGTGAATATTTCAAAAAAGAACGAAAACTGAATGTTTCTGCAAAAATTCATTTCTTATCTGAAATCACTAAAGGAAAGTGACAAACGACAGCGACTGCTTAAATAAGTTGAACATTCTACAGACACATCATAACTTATATATTGTATCAACTATCATATTAACCTTTTGAAATTCATTGAAAAAAGAAACTTTTTTATCAGAAAATATTTAAAGTTGAACATAGTTTCAAAATTTATCTAAACAATCTATGAGATAAGTAACAACAAAATATTAAAAAAGAATCATTATAAGAACTTCTGTGAATCAGTGTCACAAAAGAAAAGAAATGCATTAGAATACATATTTGGAAATACTTGATGAAATCTTACAAGATATATGAAACAGTATTGTGCAAAGAAAAAGAAATTCATTCATACTCTCTAGACTAAATTGATGATTTTCTGAAATTACAAAAAAAAAATAAAATAAAAGAACCATAATAATTCAGCTATAGGGTTAACAGTTGAAATTATACATACAGACCAGTGAAAAGATAAGTTTTTCTGAATTTATCAAATTATTGAACAGAAATTACAATAAAAGAATATATCGATTATTGATAATAATTTAAATAGAAATGTAGAACTCGAAAGTGAAACAAATGAAGTTTTTCAAGTTCCGTTCACTTTTCATAGTAGAATTTTATTTTACACTTTTTCATTGATCTTCATCAAAAGATAAATTATTCGTAGTTCTATATTATTCTTTTCGGTTATATCCGTAATTTGTGAGTGTTTTTGCGAAACCACTCGTCCGATATTCTATAATATTTCCATCTTTATAGATTTTATTAGTTAGTTAAGAAAAGTTTCGATAGTATACAGAAATATAAACAATCATAGACAAAATCTAAATGATGAAAGTAATTTAACAAAGGATGTTTATAGAAATATTATGATGGAAAATTTTTCATATGTCTAAAAACATAACTAGTACTTTAGACGTATCAAATTGAATAGAATTTTTATTGGTTATGAAAGAACTACCAAATTGATAGTCACTGTTTCACGTCATATTACACTTATAATGACGTCTTGATCAGACCAACAGAAGTCTAAGTATTCTCTCTAGTGGAACTTTGAATGACTGAGATTTTTAGTATATTCTATCGATTATTAAATTTAACTACGAGCAACATTTCATGATGAAATACTATTTTTTGATTTTTCGGTATGTATTTGAAACTAAGTCGACTATTCATTTTAAAAAAAGCATACCTTAACTTAAAAAATCTATGAATAAAAATCCTTTTAGATTTTTGTTTTAATATCACCAAAATATCGTTGTCTATATATGAGATTAAGTCATATAAACTGCATAGTATCAACATTAATGCTCATAGATATTGCGCTCTTCCTAGGACTTTCAATGATCGAGAAGTTTTAACTAACATTTTCAGACAACGCTTGTGCCTTCTTTTAGCTTAGCAATTAATGACAAATTGGACAATAAAGAATGTTGAAGAGTGGTTGAAAGCAAATGGTTTTAAAAAACAGATTAAAATTTTCAAAGGTAACTTCTATAGAAAGTAACCATTTCAATACGTCTTTTCATTTGATGTATTAGATAGAAATATAGATGATAATGCTCTAATGAAAATAACGAATGATGATATAAGGCAACTACTTTTGGAAGTTAATGAAGATGGAATGATAAACGAGGCAACAATTGAAATGAAAAGTAGATTTAGAACAATGTTAATAGAATGGAAGAAAAAAAATCAGTAAGTAAATTTCTATTAGACTTCTTTCTATTAAAAAATATTGTTATTTTCTTGAGAAACGCTGATGGTTCATCTAAGATTGTTCCGTCTAATGTAACTGACTTAACGAATTCAAATAAGGAAACTATTGACATACCTTGATAAACATATTACAATTTATTTTTTCTAACTTTCGATATGTTTATGTGAACTATTGTAGATTGAGAAACAAAATCTAGTAGAAATTGAAAGTTGTTTTTTTTTAGAGTTACAATTTACTAATAGTAGAAGGTCTCATTAAAATATTCTCTAGCCTACTCACAATGCTTTATTACTATAGGATTTCATCAATCGAATTCAAAATAATGAAATAGGAACCAAAAAAAAAAAAATCAAAGTTCAATGTATACTTTTAACGGATTCAAATAATTAATTATTCATAAGAACTATTTATTCTTCATATATTTATTTACATTCTTCTTTTTCTTTAAATAGAATTTTTTTCGAAAAATCCTTTTCTTTTTTTTGTTTATGTTTTTTTTGATCATACGTCCTAGCATTCTGGATGGAGTTTCATGATAACTAATTGTTCTTTTCGTTGTTTAAAGGAACATGTTGAATTCTTATGCTCGTGTTTTGAATTCAATTTTATTTTTTAAATTTAAAAAAAAACAGTATTTCTAAATATAGATGAATATTTTGTGAGAATTTGTTGAGATATTAAACTTGTTATACTTTTTCTTGGCATAAAGAGAAAAAATTTAATTAAGAGAAAGGCATTACAACGTGATATGCGCCTTAAAAGAAACAATTAATTGCATGGTATCAGGGTTTCACAGAGAAATCTGACTTATCAAATAAGCTATATATGATTATATTTTGCTGAATATCTCTCTCAAACATCATGATATAGACCAAAGAATTTTAACATAGTCTCTTCACTACAAATCAAAATATTCCTTTTGTTTCTAAGATTTGTGAAGAACGATTCATTAGGAAATTTTGATAGGAGATAGATCTTGATGAATAAAATTTGTTATCAAGAAAGACATTTTCTACGAGATACTAGAATTACAATGGAGAATATTGGATCCAATGTTCGCCTGTTTCTTCAAGATGTGATGTTCGATAAAAATAAAAATATTCTTATTGACACTAGATTATTTTATTTATATTTTTTCAGGTCAACTAATAAAGAAATCATTTAAAAAAAAAACCAAAAAGAAAAAATCTGATAGGACTCCATATGAAATTAATTATGTAATTGATGATGATATTCATATTGAATTTTTTCGAAATCCAAAATTTCAACGATATTTAATTAATTATATAAAACAAGAAACATATTCAGTTGATATTGATATTAAACCAGGAACTTCAAACGATGGTGAATTATTATATAATTATGTAATTAAATTAACAGGAAAAAAACAATAAATTCGTCATGTTGAAAATTTTATTAAAAACTTATCACCAAAATCAAATAAAAAAAAAGGGTTATTTGATTTAACAACAATTGATATCATTCAAAATATATTAGATAATCAAATTCATTTATTTGCTGTATGTCAATTTAGTAGATTAAATAATAAAATTTTAGAAATTTATTATTGTAATGATGAAAAATTCAATTGTTTTCAAAATCAAATTTTACAAGAAAATATTCTTTTATCAACAAATAAAGATTTACAAGCTATTGAATTTATAGATATCAATACACAAAAAATTCTATCAAAATATGATGGTAGTCCAACAGAATAATATGAAGCAGAATTTTATAAATATATAAATCAATAAGAACAAGATAATAGGGTGTGGGTGTGGGTGAATTGCGACTACGATTGAAAATTTCACAACACCCATACCTACACCCCACACCCATATCATCTATAGTGCAGTCTTGCATGAGGAGAGTTCGTAAATGAGGTAACCGACGAAGAATGAAAAAATAGTCGCTGTAGATACAACTAGTGATTGTTAGATACTCTAACATATATGGATCTGGCCACACTACGTCTGCTGTGTATGACACATTATTCAGATAAATTTTTTTAAGGTTCCATCGGTAGAATATTGATGAGACCAGAGTCCATGTTTTGCTATTCTTGCGTTCGCTGGACTCTATCGGAAGGGAGACCAAGGAGTTGCTCGATTACTTTTGCTATTCGATCGATGACGATCGAATAACGACGTAAGTCGGTAAATCAACTCATGGTCTCAACAGTCATGGCAGATTGTTAATGAAATGACATACTCGGGTCGAATAAAACGAGCAAGCGTCATGATGGCATCGAGTGATTTTGAATCCAAAATGAGCTCATGTCGATCATAAGTGTTAACCATGGCATACATTTGTTGGCAGATCGGGCGAATCGAACGAAGAATAGTGTGAGTATCGCAATAATCAAATATTCGATGGACCAATTCAACAGGTACGTCAAGAAAAGATGCATTCGCCATCAAAGTAACAATCATATTCAATAACTTTACAGATGCACTGTTCTAGAAACACGGAAGGAAAGCACCAATTATGTTTTCTGTCTGGCTCTCTAAATTTGAGAGACGAAATGCAATTATGAAACCCATGTTATACAGCAGAATTTCAATGATTGAATAGCCTCCACAGAAAGACATGTAGAACTTCGGTAGGTGGTCCTGCTACATAAGTGACAATAAAAATAAAAGTAGAGTTCAGTGTATGAAGAGAACTGATTTCTTCTTTTTGCATAAATTCTTATTGGTGCTCTTCTATCGACACCTACGGTAACGGTAAAGCCTTCTAGTGCATGAAGGAGTCAATTATTCATAACATATCATGAAAAAAAACAAGCCAGTTGTATATTCTATGAACTTGGTCAGAAACAAATTGTTCAATTGATAGAAAGAAAGTGTGTTCAAAAACTAGGCTAATATGTATTATCGATGAAGCTTGTGGTAGAGGCTTTTTTACACCGAATACAGTATCAACTGATTCAGAGGTATATTACTTAGAGATCAGTTGTGTGAAGTAGATAAAACAGTCGGCTAATGTCAACTAGCAATAAATGTAATTAGTACCAGTGAACACCGTCTGAAGTTGTGACAAAATTGTTTCATACAAAAGAAGAAGTCTTTCGAAACACTCCATCGTTATTGCGTTCCTATCTAGTGTATGAGTAAGGTTACAAGAGAATGGTGAAACTTAAGGAGATTTGTATGCTTGCATCTCCTGGAATGATTTATGACCCTTCTAATATATCTTTAGTTGATGAGCAAGAGTAGTCAAGAAAATCAAATGAAAAAATCGTAAGGTGAGCTTTAATCTATGCGTCTCATGGCGTTCAAATTATGCCGAAAGCTTGGTTTCAAACGATTGTCTCTCGCACAAAATATTCGAATATCCACGAACGTAATTCTTGTCAAAAATCTTCAGCATAATTTCTCCGAGATTGAAATGTGAAACATATGGATTTCTTCCATTCGTTATGGAAAGGTCTAGCCACATCGATCTTTATGATACTCGAAAAATTTGCCGATTGTCTCTGTCTATCACGGTCTCTGTACCGGGATGAGAAGTGAGAAGTGTCCATTTTCTTACTATCTAATTGCTTCAATACTCATTACCGACCGTGTTTTACAAAAAGAAAGTTCGAAAAAAAGGATCGTTGCGATATCTATAAAAAGGAAATGATCAGTACAGGTATGATTTTTTTTATTTCTCCCACATCAAAACACTGGTTCTGTTTCAAACAGTGACACTTTTTAGGAGCAGAATCAAAGCCACATACAATAACCAATATTTTCCTTATTCATATTGATGGTTGATATAGACTAGTCACTTTTCCTTAGAAGAATGAACCTGGTCTATAGATCTCAAGCATTTTCTAGCTGATCTTCGAAATCAAAGATATGTTAGACGAAAGCTTCTGACATATTTTTCTATCATCTGCTCATACCCTTATTTGCGTATTTTCGCATGTACGTTTCAATTTGTCAAACCTCCACTTCTTCTGGCATTTACGACTTGAAAGGAACTCTCCAAATTCACCATTCCACTGGATCTATTGGAGTTCGTATCATTGTACTGCATCGTGACTCAAAATCAGAAATGTACGTACATCTGCTTTCGTTTCTAGGAATGGGTAAAATATTCAGGAAGATAGATGCTTATGCTCTTCAGCAATTATGTAACTTTAGCATTACTGAAATTATGGTGACTGCCTATATGCGCCAAAGACTACAGCCTTGTTGCCCGAGTCATTGTGTGCACAAGTATCAAAGGTTAGTACCACAGATTGACGGTCGTGATTGCAACCAAACTATCCAGTAAAATGAATGTACCATAGTTGGCATTTCCCCTGATAAGTCGCAACCACAGTGCGTCTATCATCTACACAACGCAGTCTGATATGATGATAAATAACAATGGACTATCAACATAGCGTAAAATATTTCACTAGATTCTTATGCGTATAAACAGTAAATTACGTTCTTATAGCCTTACCGTATCTAATTCAAAGAAAACTTTTCGCGATTGGTCAAGAAACAACAAGCATATGTTACTTTTTCGGAAAAACGTATCATAATTGTGTACTTTTCATAAGGTCACGCCATCATCGAAAGAAAAATAATGGTAAAAAGAGTAAATAAAAAGGTCTACAGGCAATATTTAGTTACTTGGTATTTTTCATGGAAAGAAATGAAAAGAAGAATACAATACAATTTCACTCAATATTTTTGCTGCGCAATTCTCTCAAAACATGAATAAGGTGTTGGTAGTAACCAGATGAATAACAGTGATGTAGCGTCTTTTTCATTCGATAGAATATTTTTATTGTAATGATTCACCAACATGAAGAGTAATTATTCTTTTGCAGCTTATGAAGCATGAAAAACTTTTCGAATCTAATATTTAAATTTCTTTCCGGAAGATGTAATTTTAATATCTCAGTAAGAAAGTAGAAGTATGGTTGTTCTCTCAGTAGTTTCGGGTGTGAGTGTAAATGTTGATCTTCTCTTCACCATCATCCACATCGTCACGTCTACCCACACCAATATTCACATTCTTTCATCATGTAATGGAGAAAAATGTCAAAATAAAAGAAAAAATTATTCTCATCCAAAAACTTTCTTTTGATGAATCTGGTGTTGATGCACTTACGAGGGAACATTCCCAAGTGATTCGCTCTGTTTTGATTCGTTCATTCATCATTTGATAGAGTATATTGAGATAAGAAAAAGCCAGAAGGATTCGTGTCCATGATCTAGTAGTGAAGAGTTATGGCCGTTTTACTGAAATTTTTACTGCCAGTCAGGCATTTTGGAAAAAAACACAATGAAGAATTTCGAACTGAAATTCTATCTATAGATAGATTTAATAGTCATTATGGAGTTCTGAAAGTTTCGACGAAAACAAATATGTCTTTCTCGACTTATTCAATTAATAAAAACAGCTGTTTATCATAGAAGGGCACAATAATTCAGTTTAGTTGAGCATTGGATATCTCGAGAAAGACATGTTCGTTTTCGTCGAAACTTTCAGGATTATATACCCAGTGAAAAATATTCTCTGATTTCAATCAAATTAGTGTGCAACAAAATCCAATCCGCAATCGGATTGATAATTTTGATTTTAATCGACCACCATTTAACCCAAACTTAATGCTATTGCTAGCCCAGTGGAAATTAGATTGATTGAAATCGAGTTGTTTTCCAGTAAAATCCACATTGTCAATCGATTTATAATTTTGAATTGTGCTACAGAACAATCCGATTTTAATCAAACTAATTTCCATTGGGCTAGAAATAACATCAAGTTTGGGTTAAATGGTGATCGATCATAATCAAAATTAGCAATCCGATTGCGGATTGGATTTTGTTGCACAATAATTTGATTGAAATCAGAGAATATTTTTCACTGGGTAATGACTATTAAATCTATCTATAGATATGATTTCAGCTCGAAATTGTTCATTTTGGTTTTTTCCGAAATGCCTGGCTCAAAATAAAAGAAAAAATTATNGATGATCTTCTCAATAATGACAATTTTTTCGATAACTCAGCCATTTCTTGACGGATCCTGCTCATCTTCGAACTCGACCGAGACATTGTTAAGACTGAACTGTGTAGAAAATTTCATCGCGATTGGACTCTCCTTTCAAAAGTTATCGTGTTAACGGCCGGCCGGCCGGACGGACACACTGACCGATTCTAGAGTGTACTCACTTTTTGAGTACACAAAAATGATGCATCAAATAGACTTGAACAATAATTAGTTCTTATATGTCACTATACAACAGAGAATTGATTTAGTTCAACAAGGTGAAAATTAAAAGATTAAGAAAAAAGTTTTTAAATTCGGTTTGTCAATCCTTTTATATTGCTTTCATTGTTAGGATTCTATAAATAAACAGATTGATGATGATGAACTGTAGATTTGAACTATCATTCAATGATTA